TCTCGTCGCTCCGGCCTGACAGGGCATCATCACAGTATGTGAGGGGTGTAACATTTCCGTCTCACGCTTGGGGTATTCGGCCAATCACAATGCACTGGATAGCTGGCCAATCAGAGCACACCTCGCTTTTTCAGACCGATGAGCTTTGTAAAAATCGACGCGTTTCAAAAAGGCGGGGCATAGAGGAGAAACAATAATGTACAGTATGTGGAAAATAATGTGTTTTTTAACTTTAAACCGCATAAACACATTTCATTACACCAAATACACAAAATAATGTTCTTTTTAGGAGCATCATATGACCCCTTTAAGATTGGTTCTTTAATGATTTTTTAGGTATTCCTTATGTTTGGTTGAATTTTACCACTTTCTGCATGGTTCACAAAAACACAGTTGCGGGGGACTTAATATAATATCACGTTCAAGTGTGTCTGTACTGTATGTAGCACTCAGAAGAGAGAAACCTCCCATTCTTTAAGGGAGAAGGACCACTTTTACACTTAATCTGCTTTTTCATTCTATGCTGAATTATAATTCACTAAACAAAGCAGCCAAAGGGAAGCTGTATGGATTTGTGTGTGTATAATAATAATTTTCTGACATTTTTTAATGATTTAGCAAAATGGAAATTGTATATACAGTACACCACAGTTCAAAAGTTTGAGGTCTGTAAGTTTTGTGTGTGTGGAAGAAGATGCTTATCAAGCCTGCATTTAATTGATCACAAATCAAGAAATATTTTTATTTTTATTGTATTGTATTTTTACTGATTCAGTGTCACATGAGGCTTCAGAAATCTTTTTTTTTTTTAAGTATTCATTTATTTAAAAAAAAAATGTACAGACCCTAAACTTTTGAACAGTAGTGTAAGGTTGTATGTGCCACAAAGTATGTGGTATTTGATCTGTTTTGATTTGAAATCTTTAAACATGGAAAGTTAGTTATCTTTCCAGTTGTTTATGGCAGATCCAACTCTCTTTTTCTTGATTTGTTTATTTAATATTTTCTGTTTTTATTATGATCCATACATTTTGAATAAGCTTGTTGAAGTTCAAAAAATGTGAAAAGTGTGAAATTTTAATCTAGCTGAAAATATTAATCAGATGCACCGAAGTAGCCTATCCCTATGGCCAGAGGAATGCAGAAACAGAAAGCAGTGCTATGAAAGTAATTTCATCTACGTAAGTACTTGTAATACTTGCAAAAACTTTCTTTAGTGCCTTATTGCATTGTGAGAGGTTGGTTAACCCCAAAATCAATTTAGCATTTTTTATGTGATTTTTACCTGCTGGGAAGTATGCAGTATAGCGCTCAGTTTATATAATGAAATTTGCAGTATGTCTTTGGACCACTGAACAAGTTAACTTTGAAACCTGGGGACACAACATGAATCCCATAAATGGTTTTTCGAAACAAGTTTGATGCAGTGAGGTAAGGTTTCTCCATCAGAGTATATACTGTATAATAGATAAGATTACTAAAGATGCTCGTCTCTGACACAGCAGCAGGAGTTCTGGAACAGGGTGACAGGTCCGTTTTAATCATTAGAGTGATTTTGTGTTGTGTTCAGAACATAGACTGTAAAAAAAGATGGACATTGCATCTCTATATCCTTCCACTTTAGAAAAATTAAGCTAAAATGGCCGCTGTCAACTTGTGCTGATGACGTCATGTGGAGTCTGTGCAGTAGTGATTGTGAGGTAGAGCCAAGGTGTCAAGGTCTCATCCAAACACAAGCACACGATCATAAACTGGTTTAGGATGTTTTCAAGTTTTTTTACTTTTATGTTTAAGGGTTTTCTATAATACACTCTTAAAAATAAAGGTGCTTCAAAAGGTTCTTCAAGCGATGCCATAGAAGAACCATTTTTGGTTCCACAAAGAACCATTCAGTCAAAGGTTCTTTAAAGAACCATCTCTTTCTTACCTTTTTGTAATCTGAAGAACCTTATTTCGCCACAAAGAACCTTTTGTGAAACAGAAAGGTTCTTCAGATGTTAAAGGTTCTTTATGGAACCATTTAGACAAAAAGGTTCTTCTATGGCATCGTGAAGCACCTTTATTTTTAAGAGTGTACCTGGAGAAAACAGGTCTGTTATTTTTTCCATTGGCTTCAATGCCACTTT